TCTTTTCACACTTTGAAAGCGCTCTATACTTACGTTCTCCTCGACTGCAGGTCCCCTTAAATGCACCGATATCATTCTACAAGTTCTAATAGCTGACTAATTTGCAATCTTCTCCCTTCTTTCAATATCTATCGATAGTTGAAATCTCCTTGAAAGCTCCCTTCATTTCTTCCCCTCTTTGTTCAATAAAGAATCTCAAGGTTTGTAAAAAAGACTTCATACGCGATTTTGCTTCCCTTCTTACCCTTCCTCACTCTCCTTTAGAGAAGGAATGTGAGGCTAATTTATGGTCCCCATTGGGTTTATCTTCAGAATAAACTCGCAGAAAAAGCAAGAGCCTTCGTCTTGTCATTTTGTTTTTTTCCAAAAATTACCTTTTTCCAGCCAATTTGATAGGTTTGAAATGCACCCTGAAACGATTTGCAAAAAAATGTGTTCCTGTCCAAAACGCACTCACCTCCACCACCACCACCACCACCTCCCTGTTGGGCCGGCTATTTGGTCCTAGTGCGCCTTAATGGCACATTTAGTCCGCAGGTCTAGAGCCAAATGTGTCTGCTGATGCAGTAAGATATTTTTAGATGTCTGTCGTTCATCCATTCTCCAACACTGCGCGTTTGACCTAACTGTCCCGTCAATGCCTCCGTTCTAGCCTTTCCGCATTTGTCAAGTGACAGGTCGGTAGTTCACAATTACCGCCCGATCTGTCTGGGCAAAAGCGACACTTCACAAACGGATTCCATTGCTCTGTGATTTCCATCTTAAAAATAAGTGATCATAGTACTCTCATTCTTCCAACGATTTAGCACACCACCGACTTTTAACATTGAGGTCCAAAATGAATGAAAGATAAATGGCTCATGAAAACTGCCCATAATTCCATTGCTGTGGTTGTTGGTGCCGTCGATGTGAGGGAAACCTTCAAATTGGGAGTTTTTTTCACGGGCAATAATATCTATAGCCAAAATCTCATGTGGCAAAAAGAGCGCTAAGTTTACTGAACCTGAGCCAATCAAGCCACAGCTCAACTTGGCTCGACAGCTGAGACGCGTGATGGCGATCAAATGCCGTTTCATGCGAATAACTTCCCACTCACTTCAGTGCAATCTTCATTACTGCAATCAACTACTGATGCTCCATTTCAATCTTTGCAAAAAAGCAATGAAATATATTAAGTCAGGTTGGTCGCCACTAAGGGATGTTGAACTGGTGGTAAAGAAGCCCTTGAAGCCATACCGCAAGCATCACGTCGGAGTCAGACTGGGATTCAGACATAAATCGCAAGTCAGAACGAAATGAGATATTTCCAACTCACCAGGTGGGACAGAGTGGGGTTTTGGTAGTCAAAGACCAGTGTGTTGAGCGTACTGCCGATTTCAGCTGTGCGCAGACGTCGTCTCGAATCATAACTCAAGCGGTAGTTCGAGGATCCCCAGAAGGCTTCTTTTATCTGGCCCTCCCTGCAACACAAAACGGCGAATCCGTCATACGCGTCAAACTAATTGGAATCAACTTGGCGAGAAAAGGGAGGCGGATGAGGCAATGTGTCAACAATGTGTGTGAACAAGTCGAGAGACAGATCTAAGATGGCAACATTCTTAACAAGCTTCTCCAATGAGACTGAGGCATTAGATCACATTTAACATGCTTCTGCCTCCACGGCCCACCCCAAGTAAGTTTCGTGTTTCCTTGTTTCGTTCGATGCGGGATCTCAGTGTTGCTGATAAAGCTGGAGTGAAGGAGGTCGCCACTCTCGATACATTTTGATCAGACTAACCAATTGCCAACATGGCGCCACTACTGACAGATCGGCCTATCGTAGTCTTGTGGCCGTGCCTATTTTATGCACGTGGCCTTCCCTCTTGTCTCTCGCCTAGACCACAAACGCACACTTGCGCATACACATACCCGGCATATTCCGACCGCAAATGTCCTCTGTGCGCACTTCGATGATGCATGAAGGGATTGGTGGTGGTGGTGGTGTGTGTGTAGTCGGTCAACGTTAAAAGTTCACATGACCACTTCCAACACCGACAGTATCATCAACATCATTGGGGTGTGCAATCATAACACCCAGACAGCCAATCACCCAGTTACTACCCCTAGTTGACCTCAAGCCCACAGGCTCCAGGCATTTGCATGAACGCACACAAACACACGTGTTTCTTTGGCGTCCATCGTTCTCTAAACCTGATCAGTCTTGCCTATCCGACTACCCGGTTAACCAGTCAGCTGGCACTGCGTTTGAGCAAACGCCCTCTCCTTTACACCCATTGTTATCGTTGTTCTTCTTGCGATCAGTACGATTGAGAACAACGGTTGGGATCTCGCCTAGCCCAACCATTTTACCGCCTGACCTCATTCACCTTCTCTTATTTTCAAGAAGGCCACTTCCCCTTCCCTTTCCCCCTCCTCCTCCTCCTCCGCCCTACACCAACTCATCATGCGTTTGTCTAGCCTAGAGCTTTTTATCCCATCAGTCACGCTGGTCAAGTAAGCATAACTCCTATCGTTTCACACTTCCACACTAGGTCAGGATCGTGCATCAGGATTAAAATCACCCGCCTGAATGGCACCGCGTCCAAATTATCACATTGGTACACTGTGCGCCCAGATCACCTTCATTACATTCAGTTGTTACACCCTATCTAGCCAAACGCTTTGCTTACTGATTTTTCTACGTAACCGAGCTGACGCATTTTCTCAAATAATGCAAATTCGTTGGATCCTGTGTGCTGTAATAAAACCGGGGAGCCTGGGCAACTGAATGAACAAACTAAATAATGACAAGAAGTATCCGAAAACCGGACAACTCATGTTTACTCATGCAATAGATCTGTCCGAACTTATTTGAACATTTCGTTTGCAGGACAAATCCTGCTTTATTCCTATGCATTCATCGCAATGCATTGCATTGCATTGCATTGAACCCCCACACAACCGACTTGGAGGCACTGCCAAATTGTTAGCACAACTGACAGTAGAACTGACGCTGAGCATCTGGGAAAAGTCGCGTTGTAAATGGTGTGCTTCTAATTCAACCGCTCCCCCTCCACCATCCATGTGATTTTTTGACTGCAAGGGCTGTGAAAATACGAACCATTCTGGGTGTTGCCAGTGGCAAATCGTAAGACAGTTAACTCTCTGACCGGAACTCTTCCCGTTTGTGATGAGCAATTAGCAGGCAACGGCCTGGGACCTCTATTGTAGAAGCGGAAGCCATGAGCACTGCAGTAACAGAACACGAAATGCTAAATAAGACAGTTGGCAAGAGAGCCCTGAGAGCACTGTTACGTGGCGTCAAATCATCAGAAAGTGGAGACACAGGGATACGTCCAGAGTGTTTGAACACGAATAAGTGCAGGTAGGGGACGCGTGGCTGCAGCCTTTTTTTGGGCGGACGAAGATGAGTAATCGCGACTAAATGAGTTTATCAATTCCGTTGTTTGGGTGTGAGGGTCGGAGCATGGATGAATAATTAATTGAGAAGTGGAATGGTTGCTTCTAAAGGCTGGGCCATTTAACGTCAACGGAAAGAAGAAAAAAGCATATTAATGAGCGTTGTCTACGTGGCCACTGCATTGACTTGAAAGGTTCAGTTTGCAGCATCGACTGGCGATGGTTGGAACTGTGGGATGCAGGCCAGACCAAGTCTTTGTGTAGTGGCCTTGTCAACAAAAATACTACCGACTGCGCCTAGCATTGGTGACTGCCTGCTTGACCGCATCGTTTTGTCGGTTAAGGTAATCATAGCCGAGCGTGCATACAGGGCAGTACTGTACGTAGGTTGCATGTCGGCTGCTTGACGAATGACTATCCTTTCTTCCCGTGCTCCAAATAGTCATCCTTCTTCCAGCCCACTGGTGGTGTCGAGGATACAACGGTGCACGAGGCGTTCCAGTTTTGTTCTGCAGTGCTACACTGACTACCTTGACGTCTGCCACTGCGGCAATAATTCCTAAAGGGCCCTAAGTAGCAGACTTGGGCAGCAGTGTTGTTCAGATGTCGCGTGAGGCAAACCTGGATTTTCGTCCGTAAAATATGCTAACAAGGCGGTGGTGGGAGGGGAAAGGAAGGAAGAATGCGCCTTTGGACCGGCATGTCTGCGTTTGTGACCGTGATTGATTTCATGTGCGCATTCTTTCCTTCTGTTTAGATCTTTCCAGATTACCCTTTTTCAAATCCCAGGGCCAAAACACATCATGAACGCACTTTGTTGCCAAGTCTTTTTCTCCTTTTTTCTTCTTCGACGCCTAAACCTTCTTAATTGGGCGTCCATATGGGAGGAAAGAAAGATATGCGGGTCTATTGATCACGGTCTGCTGGGCATGTGGGCTAATCTTTTGGACAATCTGAGAGCCCAATGAGGTCATCGCATGTCAATCATTCAGTCGCCCTCTAGTCCAGGCCTGTCCATCTAGCAGGAAATGGCATTCTCCCTGCCCCCGTGAACCACCCGCACGTTAAAAATCACTGACTCACTCACTGGTCGAGGTGCAGGCGAATCAACACTGTCGTCTCCTCGCTTGTCTTCTTTTGTCTCGTTCACCCAGTATTAACCCACGTATTATGGTAAGCGGTGACACTGCGGCCTGCGTACAAAACAGCAGGCGTCGAACTGCAAATCCGTCTGTGTTATTTTTACCCCAAAAAAAATGTCTGTAAAAAATTGTATGCATCGAAATTGCTTCGAGGGAAGCACCGTAGGCTTTCATGTCAGACCGACAAAACGGTGGTGCATACCCCCACTACTGCGGGCCATTAATGTCATGGGAATGGTGCACTTTGTTGCCGTTTTGTATGCATCATTTTTCCATTGCATTATCACGCTCCCCACATTCTCCGTAATGAGTTGAGCCTTTTTAGTAAATAGGACATAGGAGTCTGAAAGTAACTTCTTCACAGGCACACTTGAGGACCCAGAGGGGGAAGCGAAGGTCGAATCATGAATGCTTGAAAGAGCTTGCGTAGTCGTGTGCATAAGTAAAGAGTAGCCGACCTTGAAGCGCCTGTCTTTTTT